TTGAGCAAAAGATGGGTCTAGTGGTTTGACGAAATTTGTAGCCATTTTAACCAAAGAGTTAACCGAATGTGGAAAAACCTGATGATTGTCTCAATAGAGTGCTAAAAATGCTCAAAAGCAGCATGAATAGACTCATTGTGTGACCTAATGAAGAGTGCAATAACTGAGACTTCTTGGGATGCAAATTGCGAAGATCCATGCAAACCATATTTGGATTGCAATTCACTTAATAAATTGTAGAAAATAGTTATTGGCATCCAGAACATGTTGTGAATCCGGCTTAGATGTGCTTACATTAATTCACTAACCCATTTGTCACCCACTAATGACGATGAGACAATGAGTCATATAATATGTCTTTGGTAGTATTCATAAGTCAAATAAACAGTGCTAGTAATGACTGTCGCTTGCTCAACTATCTCTAATATCTCATATTCATTTGGTGGCTCCAATTGTTTGAAAGAATGGTCTTAAGATTATTTTAAAAGAACATGTTATTCTCAATGCAGGTAAATGTTTATCTTGTCACAATGAAAGTAGTTTAACTACAGCAATTCACAAATAATGAAAAGTAGTATGACTCTGCTTCAGTAGCAACAAGTAAAAAAAGATGTGCATGTCATCTAATTAGTCCTACTCTCTAAAAAATAATGGAGATAATGAATCCTCCATTCAGTGTGTAGCTTGAAGAAAGCTTCTCACTCATTTCGATCCTCTAGAAGTTTTATGGCAAATAAGTAGGAGGGCATGTCATCAAAAATTTTTGGAATTGAGTCTTGTAGCTTGACAACATTTGCCATTCTTGGGTATGCATGGAGAATAGTGTGGGCACTTGAAGTAATACTGGTGCATTTTGTCACCACTTATGATATCTGTTGAGAAGGAGAGAAGAACAAGCAATTCAACCAACTAAGTTTTTTAGAGAAATAAAGCAATGCTCATATAGCCATGAAAATAAAATAAAAAATTAAATTTTGAAATAAAAAGATTAACAATGCTCATAAATTTTTCATTTCATAGCTTCTACTGCTTGATCATGATTAGTATAGATGTTGCTAACTTATATATCTTACATAGTTAAACTTTGCATCAGAGCATATGCAATTCTATTTATGAAAGTCTGAGTAGAACTAAGAAAAAAATGAAGCATTGCTCAACATTTTCTCCCTAAAATGTTACAGTACACTGAAGATGAGACAAGAGTAAGTAATTCGACCAACAAAATTTCATAAAAAAACTAAAAATTAGTGCTTATGTAGCCAATAAAAAAATAATCAAAAGAAATTCTGCTTACACATTTGAATAATGCTCATGTATATTTCAATCAATTGCTTTTAGTGATTGATAAGAAAAGGAAAAAAATATCGCTAACTTTTTTATCACGTAAGTTTTAATTATGTAGCAAAACATATGCATTTCTATTTTTAAAAGTCTAAAAAAACTAAACAAAATAAGCATTGCCCAACATTCTCCCCAAAAAATATTACTCTATATTGAGAAGGAGACAAGATCAAGCAATGCAGCCAACAAAATTTCTCAGAGAAACTGTAAAGCAGTGCTAATATAGCTATGAAAAGAGAATAAATAAAAAAATTAAAATAAACAGATAAACAATACTCATATATATTTCATTTCGTTACTTTTAATGATTGATCAGAACATGTAAGGATGCTGCTAACTTATCTATTTTCAAACTTCAAATGTGTAGTAAAACATATGCAATTTCATTTATAAAAGTCTTAGAAAAACTACAGAAGGAAGCAGTGCTCAACATTCTCCCCCCAAAATGTTACTCTAGACTGAAGAAGAAACAATAACAAGCAAATCGATCAAGTAAAATCAATACATCCATATGTAATAGAGTCCACAAAGAATTCTTAAGGAAACAAATGTACAATGACATATATGCATTTTAGTCCATATCTTTTATTGGTTGATCGAGAAAGGGATAGATGATGCTAGCTTATATATCATGCAAAATTTAACTTTGCATCAAAATATATGCAATTCTATTTATAAAGGTAAAAAAGAAAACCTTTAAGAAACAGATGAACAATGCTAATATATATTTTATTTCATAGCTTCTATTGGTTGATCAAGATATGTATAGATGCTGCTAGCTTATCTCCCCAAACCAAAACTTTGCATGAAATGATATGTAATTCTATATGTAAAATTCTCACATATACTAAAATTTTGATTTCTTAAAGAAACAGATGAACAATGGCAACAAATATTTTACTCCATATCTTCTGCTGGTTGATCATGATAGGTATTGATGTTGTTAAATTGTATATCATGCAAACTTCAGCTTTGCTTCAATGCATATGCGATCTCATTTGTAAAACTATCTCATATACTAAAAAAGAGAAGCACTGTTCAACATTCTCCCCCAAAGTATTACTCAACTCTGCATAGAAGGCAAGTGGAAGCAAATCGATCAACTAACATCAGTGAAAGCATATGCAGAACAAGTCCACATAGAATTATTAAAGAAACAAATGTACAATTCACATATATTTTTCATTTCATAGCTTCTACTGCTTGATCAGAATTAGTATACATGCTACTAACCTATATATATTGCAAACTTCAACTTTGCATTAAAGTCTATGCAATGCGAGAAGAAAAAATGAATATGTGCTCAGAAATCTCCCCCCAAAATGTTCATCTACACATGCATGGGAAAAAGCAAGCTAATCGACTATTAAACATCAATGGATAAATATGTAGAACAAGAACACAAAAATTTTCACAAAAGAAACAAAGAGAAACGCAGAGATAAACAACAAATAAACTGCAAAAAAAAATCCATAAAGAAGAAAACTTCAATGAAGGTAGGTTGTAAATTGAAGACACTGACAATACTGTGAGGGAAGTGAAACTGGGTTTTAGCCCTAACGACACAGGTAACATAGGACGAGAGTGGTAAGGGGTATATGCGAGTATTGGGGAGTGATATTACCGAAAATTCGAAGGGGGCAGCGACGTCTTTGGCACCTCGCAACGGAGCTTCAGCCACATAACACCCTCCCTCTTTCGTTTCAACATTCGACCAAATGCTGCCCCCATCCGTGAAACGCTCGAATAAAAAAGGCTCCCAAAATCGACATCTCCGATTCCAAAGTGTAAACGTGTAAAAAATGAGTTCCCAAATGGGGCCTAAAAGACATCATAGATAATAATGGGGAGGTTGGTTTGATTAATTGTCAAACAAAGTCTCATTGGTGAAGCTCAACAAATCGCATGACCTATTACATTATATGAACAAGCTATTGAACCAATAATAAATATATTAAGGGATTTTAATATTAATCATGTTCACTAGGACTAATTAATGTTTTAGGATGAAAGATATCAACTGTAAGTCCAGCTAAGGTTAAACCTATCTGAAAAAAAAAGTTGATTTGGACTCAAGAATTGAATGATTAGTAGATTCCTTATATAGTCATTTCTATATCCAATAAGATCTTATAGCTATATAATAATAATGATAATAATAATAATAATTAGATATTAATTATTAACTAATGAAATTTAACATATTTAAACATTTAAACTGGCTATACATTTATGAAATAATTAATAATTTGTTTGCTTAAAAAATTAAATATATTAAATATAGGATGGTTTATTAATTTAATTATTATTTAAATTAGTTCATATTAAGTAATCTAATATGTTAATTAGACATTAATTTGATTCTTTATTATGACAATTAATAATTATTATTTTCTATTACTAGTAAAATGTTTTCTTATAATTATTTACTTGATTAGATGAATTAATTACTCATTATATTTTAATTAGTATTAATATGAAATTTGAGTGACTTTTTTGTGACCGTGCATTAACAAAATAGTTTATTTTTAATTTGTCTTACAAAAGTATTGAACAAATTAATGTGTCAAAGTAAATGATGATTAAGAAAAAAACATATATTTAATTAGAATATCTTATTATTATAATAACTAATTAATAGCTTCTTAGGATAACTAAATTTTATTTTCTTATTCAGTAGTTTAATTAAGAATGCCATTTAAAATCCTAAAATAATGTTAACAAAATTTATGTCAAAATTATCTTCATTAGTCTTCTAAGAAAAAAAGAAACTTAATATATTTTTTTTATGATAAAAAAATTAATCTATAATAAAATAATTAAAAAAATTAAAAAAAATTACATTTATCAAATGTCATTTGCTAAACTAGAGACAATGAAGTGCTTTATTTATTTATTTATTTATTTATTATCTTTTGGCTCTCTTAAAAAAAAAAAAAGTCAAAATCTTATTCTAAAATTTTATCATCCTCCAACCATTCTTCAAAGTAATTTGATTGATAAATGTTGTAAATTTAAATTTAATAAATTTTGAAAAAAAAAATCCTAAGAAATTCATATGATGAGTATTAAGTTTAAATAAATCTCGATATACTAATTGATCATTTATTTTATTATTTTGAAAAATTTATGTGTTCATTAAATTTTATTATTTCTATTTGGTCAAATTGATCTTTAGTTGGATAAATTAAATATAACTAATAAAATAAATATTCATTTTTATAACAAATTAAATCATAAATTAAGCTGATTAATTTAAATTAATGTATATACATCAATTTTATATACAAAATAATAATTAGAAGTTTATATCTCACTAAGTACGATCACAATCTATATCTAATGTATATGATTGAAAATAAATAATTAAAAATAATAATTTAATAAACTAATTAAATTATAATTATTGTAGGATAATTATTCAATTAATTATTAATTAAAAATTATACTTTAATTACACAAAAGTGTTTTCTAAATTTTACATTAATTTTTATGTATTTAAATATGTAAAATCTAAAATTTGATATTTGATTTAAAAATTTAATTCATGAAAATATGAATTTCATATTTAAGAATTCAGTAATATTAATATTTTTATTCGTAAATATGAAAGTTCCGGTGTCAGATTTGTAAATATAGACATGTCTGGATCTAATGAATGGGCGGACGGGAGGTCGCTGGGGGCAGGCATCGACGGGACAGGCGGCAAGTGTAGGGGAAGAGGAGTTCGTGACGGGAGTTTGCTAGGGCAAGAGACGCCGCTGATGTAAGTTTTATGATTTAGTAAATCCGTTCTTTAAGGTAAGCGGAGGAGAAACAGGATTTAGAATTGTGTAGGATTTATGTTTTCGATTTTTAACGTTTAGCAGGATCAGAGTTAAAATTTGCGCAAAATTATGGCCGTCTACAAGCAGGTTTTTAATTTGAAAGAAAACGTTTGAATGGCGTTGGGACAGTGTATGAGATTCTCTGGTTTGGTTGTGTTGCAAGGGGGTTAATTTTCATTTATCCTTTTTTTTTTTTAATTGCTTGAGAATTCATGAAGAGGAAATAATATTAGCCGGCGAAGTTCTGCATCCATTGCGTGTTCTCTTTTATGTTTCTACGGTTGTTTTATGGGGTGGCTGCGAAACATAGTATGCGATCAACTAATGATTTTAATGGATTGTATTAGCTTTTACTTTTTCAAGCAAGCTTGTGGAGGAACCAATCCAACTTTCAGGCAAATGTTTCAATTACTTACTTTTATTGCAGAACACCTAATGATACTTGTGCTATCTGTTAGTTGAGAGTTGTTGCTGTTTAATGGAAGTGAGAGAGCTGATGACTTGGGGGGTTATTTTGAGGCAACATTTTGATTGATTTTATGGTAGGAAAAGTCAGCAATAAAATAATGTCCGTTTGGGTGAAAACTTTTCGCTAATTTTCCAGATTGTCTCAAAAAAGTTTGCTTATGGGAAAGCATAATAGAAATAGTGGTTCAAGAAGTAGCTTTTAAAATTTTAAAAAAATAGAAAGGCATAGGTCAACCAAAATGAATCACTAATTTATAGTAGTATGAGATATTTGATGTGGGAATCAAGTAAATACATTTTCTTGGTTATTACTATTGATCTATCAATTTTTTATTAATAGAGGATATATGGAGGGACAATAATTATATAAAGGTAGAAGTTCCTTGTCATGTTTTAGGAAGATATTCATTCAAAATGATATTTTGTGGTTTCGAAAGCATTATGTATGCCCGCCCAATCAATTTTAATTTGTTCAAGTTAAAAAATAAAAATGTTCATTTTTATTGTGGGACAACTCATGATGTTTTTATTGATCTATGATGTGCCTATGCATATAGCCTTGAGTAGACCTCATGTGTGAGAGATTAGGTCAAGTGATATTGTCCCCATGTGTGAAGTCTGAGGCGAGAAATATAACTCTCGTCTATGTGTTTTTGTAAAATATGGAGGGAGTGATGATCAAGAATCTTTTGTTGATGCTACATTACCTTAATTATTTTCCGTTCTTTTGTATATCTGTTTCATTTCATCTAGAACAATCATTATAGTATTCTTTATTATTAACTCACTACTTGAAATTCAACATGAGATCTTATCATTCTCTGATGAATCGTCTGAAATTTCTTTGTTTCATTTCATTTCTTACAAAGTTTCACATTAGCAAGACAAAAAGCAATCACTCATAAACTTTGCTAGATTAACCTTTTTTCTTATCATTTTTTTTTGAAGTTGTTTAATAGGAAGAATAGGAAGATCATTATAACTATAGCCATTGGTAGGCTCACCAACAAATTGAATGATTTATTTGATATTATGGATTGTTGGTTACAAAGGGACCATTTCATTTGTGTCGGTTGTTTTGATTCTCTTCCTCATTTCGTCGAAGAATGTTCTATTTGCAATGACCTAACTGCAATAGCAATGCTTTCCCAATTGAGTATATACTCCTAAGTAATGAGTAGAGTGCATGAAAGAGTCAGATTATTTTTATGGTTTTCATATATTAATCTAGTTCATTTTTGTTTGGCCTATTAATTAAACATTGGTTGTCTTGTTGTTTTAGCCTGCCTTATTAAATATTGATATTAGGGATCTAAGAAAATACCCTTCTCAGTAGCTATTTTGTTGTTTATGAAACTCATATTTTGATGCAAAACAAGCATTATTTTATAAGACAAGGGATTACGTAAAAATTCTTGTCTGGTTGTTAGCTTCTATAAGAAGATAAATATTATGATAGGATCTTGGAATATAGGTATTCTCACTAGTAAATTAATGGAATTAGTTGATATTATGGTTCATAGGAAGATAAATATCTTATGTATTCAAGAAACTAAATTGGTTGAAGAAAAGGCTAAGGGAGATTGATAGCTTAGATTTTAAACTTTGGTATTCAGGTAGGAGTCACACTAGAAATGCTGTAGGTATAATTATAGTTAAGAGTTTGAATGGTAATGTTGTAAAAATTAATAGAATTGGAGATAAAATTATGGTCCTTAATATTTTCGTTGATACTAAGATTTTTAATGCTATAAATGCTTATGCTCCTTAAGTAGGTTTAGATATAGGTTCTAAAGAAAAATTATGTAATCACTTAGAAGATTTAACAAAAAAAAAATTTGTTGGAGGAGATTTAAATGTACATGTTGGTGGAGTGATAGAAGATTTTAGAAATATTCATAGTGGTTACGGTTTTGGAGTATTTAATAAAGAATGTAGAACCATATTAGTTCTTGTTTTAGCGTATGATTTTGTTATTCCTAATAGTTTTTTTAAAAAAAAGATGAGCTTATTATCACTTATAAGAATGGATCTAATAAAACACAAATTGATTATTTTATTTGAAAAGAATAGACCGTCGAGAATGTAAAGATTGTAAGGTCATTCCAAGTAAAAATTTAAATATTAAATATCAATTTTTAGTTTTGAATTTTAAGACGAGGGTTTTAAGATAAAGAATGCTAGGAACCATTTTTATAAAATTAGATAGGGGCACCTAAATGACAAATAAAATTATTTTTATGAGTAAACTTCAAGATTTCAAAATTTGAGATGTTCTTGAAGAAACAAATTTTATGTGGGATAAAATAACAAACATTATTGAATAAGTGACAAAAGATATACATGAAAAATTAAAAGAAAATTTTATATAAATAAAAAATATTGGTGGTGGAATAATAATCTGCAGGAAAAAATAAAATATAAGAAACTGTTGTAAAAATTGATTTAAATGTAAAAAACTCAGATAATTGGGAAAAATTTAAGGTGGCCTGTAACAATTTGTGAAGCTAAAAATTCAACTTTTAGTGATCTTTATAATAGATTAGATGTTAAAGAGAGTGAAAAATATATATATAAACTAACCAAATAAAGATGAAAAAATAAAGATTTAACTCAAATATATTAAAGTTGAAAATCAAAAAGAGTTTTTCTCATAAGAAGATATTATATATAAGTGGGTGAGTTCTGAAAATATGATCGACCTTAGTGATCTTAATATTGTTAATAATAAAAAAATATTTTTTACCGTCGCACTAGTAAAAACGAACTTGAGGAGGATTTAAAGAAAATCGAGAATGTAGGACCTAATAATATCCCAATTGAAGTGGGGGAAATATTAGGAGATTTGGGAGATTCTTGGCTTACTAAACTCTTTAATATTATTTTAAGAACTAAAAAGATGTTTAAGGACTGGAGGAAGGGCATTTTGGTTCCCATTTTTAAGATTAAAGGAGGTGCACAAGAGTGTGTAAATTATAGATGAATTAAATTGATGCGCCGTACTTTAAAATTATAGAAGAGGATAATTGAACATAGGTTAAAATGTGATACAAAGATTTCTCATAATCAGTTTGAATTTATGTCGGACAGGTCTAGTATGAAAGCTATACATTTATTGAGAGATTTGATGAAAAAGTACAGAGATAATAAGGAGGATCTACATATGGTTTTTATTGATTTAGAAAAAGCTTACGATAAGGTTCCAAGAGAGGTCTTTTAGATTGTTCTAGAGAAGAAAGGTGTTGATATGACTTATATTCAAGTCATTAAAGATATGTATACTATACCTGTTACTTGTGTTCAAATAGGAGGATTGACCAAGTATTTTCCTATTTCAGTTGGATTATATTAGGAATCAACTTTAAGCCCATATTCTTTTGCATTAGTTATGGTTGCTCTTACTAGACATTTACGGGAGGATGTACCTTGGTTTATGCTTTTTACTGATGATATCCTTCTTGTGAATAAGACTAGAGAAAGAGTTCAGGAAAAATTTGAATTATGGAGGTCTACATTGGAGTCTAAAGGCATTCGTTTGAATAGAACTAAAACTGAATACATGGAATGTAATTTTAGTTGTGGTAGCTCTAGTGATAGTGTTGTAACTCTGGGTGATCAAATCATTAAATGATGTAAATGTTTTAGATTTCTCGAGTCTATTGTTCAAAGTGATGGTGGTATAGATGAGAATATTATTAGTGGAATTCAAGCTAGTTGGTTAAAGTGGAGGAATGCATCGGGCCTATTGTGTGATAGAAAGAACCGCTTAAACTGAAAGGAAAATTTTGTAAGATGGTCGTGAGACCTGCAATGCTCTATGGCGCAGAATGTTGGCCTTTAAAAGAGAAGTATAAAACAAATGTAAGTGCTGTTGAGATGAGAATGCTTAAGTGGATGAGTAATTTGACACCTAGAGACAAAATGCGAAATGAATAATATCTGTGATAGGGTTGGTGTAGCTCCGGTGGAGGACAAGAGTAGAGAGAATCGTCTTAGATGGTTTGGTCACATTAAAAGCCGACCATCTGATGATTTAATTGGGAGAGTAGATGTTTTAGATTCGGTTGATGTTAAGCAAGACAGAGATAGACCTGAAAAGACTTGGGCATATTGTATAAAAAACGATCTTAATCTATTAAAATTTAATGAAAATATGAAACTCAATAGGCCGCAATGGAAAAAAAATGGTTCTTGTAGCCGATCCCACTTAGTCGGATAAAGGCTTGTTGTTGTTGTTGTTGTTGTTGTTGTTGTGGTTGTTAGCTTCCACATATCGTCAAATAAGCAAGGCCATGTAGGCATTTTGGAAGTGTATGATCCAATCTTAACTAATTTGAATACACTGACCTTACATGGATTTTCTATTCGTTGAGGTATGTATTTTGCATTAATAAAATGTAAAGGTTACATAAATAGGCATCTAAGCATATACAATGTGATATATATCATCCCTGAGCAAACTCAAAATAGA